GTGAGACGGAGTTTTAACTCCCACCTCTGGGAGAACTTCAAACATGTTCTGAGGGAGGTGGGCGACATTGAGTCCGAGTGGACCATGTTTTGTACCTCTATTGTCGAGGCGGCTTACCGGAGCTGCGGTCGCAAGGTTGTCGGTGCCTGTCACGGCGGCAACCCTTGAACCCGATGGTGGACACAGTCAGTGAAGGATGCTGTCAGGCTGAAGAAGGAGTCCTATTGGGCCTTTTTGGCCTGTGGGACCTCGGAAGCAGCTGATGGGTACCGGCAGTTCAAGCGACATGCAGCTCGGGTGGTCGCTGAGGCAAAAACTCGGGCATGGGAGGAGTTCGGAGAGGCCACGGAGAATGACTTCCGCACGGCTTCGAGGCGATTCTGGTCCACCATCCAGCATCTCGGGGGGGGGGGGGAGCGGGACGCCACCAACACTGTTTATAGTGGGAGTGGTGCGCTACTGACCTCAACTCAGGATGTTGTGGGTCGGTGGGCGGAATACTTTGAAGACCTCCTCAATCCCACCGGCACGTCTTCCACTGAGGAAGAGGAGCCTGGGGACTCTGGGTCGGGCCCTCCAATCTCTGGTGCTGAGGTCACCAAGGTGGTTAAAAAGCTCCTCGGTGGCAGGGCCCCAGGGGTGGATGAGATTTGCCCGGAGTTCCTTAAGGTTCTGGATGTTGTAGGTTTGTGTTGGCTTACGCGACTCTGCAATATTGCGTGGACATAGGGGGAAGTTCCCCTGGATTGGCACCACCCCAGGTGGTCCCCCTATTCAAAAAGGGGGACCGTAGAGTGTGTTCCAACTACAGGGGAATCACGCTCTTAAGCCTCCCTGGTAAGGTCTATTCGGGGTATCTGGAGAGGAGGGTCCATCAGATAGTCGAACCTCGGATTCAGGAGGAGCAGTGCAGTTTTCGTCCTGGCCGTGGAACACTGGACCAGCTCTACACTCTCAGCAGGGTCCTGGAGGGTGCGTGGGAGTTTGCCCAACTGGTCTACATGTTTTTTGTGGACTTGGAGAAGGCATTCGACCGCGTCCCTCGGGGAACCCTGTGGGGGGTACTCTGGGAGTATGGGGTACCGGGCCCTTTGATACGGACTGTTAGGTCCCTGTATGACCGGTGTCAGAGCCTGGACCACATCGCCGGCAGTAAGTCGGGCTTGTTCCCGGTGAGAGTTGGAGTCCGCCAAGGTTGCCCTTTGTCACCGATTCTGTTCATAACTTTTATGGACAGAATTTCTAGGCGCAGCCAAGGTGTTGAGGGGATCTGTTTTCGTGGCCTTAGGATTGCTTCTCTGCTTTTTGCAGATGATATGGTCTTATTGGCTTCATCAGATCATGATCTACAGCTTTCGCTGGAGCGGTTCGCAGCCGAATGCGATGCGGCCGGGATGAAGATCAGTTCCTCCAAATCCGAGGCCATGGTCTTGAGCCGGAAAAGGGTAGAGTGCCCTCTCCGGGTCAGGGAGGAGGTCCTGCCCCAAGTGGAGGAGTTTAAGTATCTTGGGGTCTTGTTCACGAATGAGGGAAAAATGGAGCGTGAGATCGATAGGCAGATAGGTGCAGCATCAGCAGTGAAGCAGGCGCTGTACAGGTCTGTCGTGGTGAAGAGAGAGCTGAGTCAAAAGGCGAAGCTCTCAATTTACTGATCGATCTACGTTCGTACCTTCATCTATGGTCACGAGCTTTGGGTTGTGACCGAAAGAATGAGATCTCGGATACAAGCGGCCGAAATGAGTTTTCTCCACAGGGTGTCTGGGCTCTCCCTTAGAGATAGGGTGAGAAGCTCGGTCATCCGGGAGAAACTCAGAGTAGAGCCGCTGCTTCTCCACGTCGAGAGGAGCCAGTTGAGGTGGCTTGGGCATCTGTTTAGGATGCCTTCTGGACGCCTCCCTGGTGAGGTGTTCCGGACATGTCCCACTAGAAAGAGGCCCAGAGGAAGACCCAGGACACGCTGGAGGGACTATGTTTCTCGACTGGCCTGGGAATGCCTCGGGATTCCCCCGGAAGAGCTGGCCCAAGTGGCTGGGGAGATGGAAGTTTGGGCCTCCCTACTTAGGCTGCTACCCCCGCGACCCGACCCCGGATAAGCAGAAGAAAATGGATGGATGGATGGATGGAATTGAACAGATAATGTTTTTTCTTGCTTGCTCTTGGTGGAAGGCAGACATCCTCCTCTGCTCCGTCCCTGCTTTGCTCTTTTGCCTTGTGAACCTTTTTCAGAGCCCCCTTTTTATGCATACCTTTCGAATTCAACAAAAATTTGATGAGCTGGTCTCTCAACAAAATTTATCAATTTTTAACAGGTAGTTAGGTTGAAGGAGAACCCTCTTACCTCGATGGAAACATAATTGGATCTATGATAACTGGATTTTACTGTTTGGAGTTGGTAAAAATCTGGATTGTCAACAAATTCGAAAACATCAGCAGCTGTTTAAGCTGCTTGGAATGTGGAGAATGTGCTGAGCTTGGCAGCACTCAGACTATGTGCAAACTATATGTGGTGCTGTATCAAGCTGAGCAGGCTGATTCTTATTAGGACTGTGGAACTTTCTGGCAGTGTCCATGAACGGTTGGAAGGAATAAATCTTGGAGAAATTATAAGCTTGACTTGGCGTACGTAATCAAATTCGGTTGTTTGGAGTCACCATGAGAGAATGTACTAGCGAGACTGTTTATGCAGACACGGAAGTTTACAAGTTCAGCCTGACCCAAAACAATGTTGAAATCTGAATCTGGCTTTGGAAGGCGGACTATCTCAATTTCTCCTTGAATGTTAGCTGGCTCCTTGAACCGAGCTGGCTGATAAACAAACACCTCTTAACAGGACTATGGCTGGGGGGGGTGGGGGTGTCTCTGTGCTTCGACCTTCCTTCAAAACTCAATGCCTCCACTGGCACAGCAACCTAGGAGATGCAAAGGTGCCAAAGGCTGCGTCACTCACCTGATGGCCGTGCTGGGACCCCCACCCCCTACCCACTTCACACGCATATGTATTATGTCTATTTATGGCAGCAGATTCTGGATTACTTTCTCTCCTCATCCTCCTCGATCTCAGTGCGGCTTTTGATACCATCTCCCACAACATCCTCCTCCACAGACTTTCATGCATTGGCATCACCCACACACCCCTCGCTTGGGTTCAGTCATATCTCTCTGGCCGCACACAGTTCATCCAACTGAAATCATTCAGATCCCATTCCTCTCCTGTGACTTCAGGTGTGCCCCAAGGCTCTGTCCTGGGGCCCCTTCTTTTCATAATCTACCTTCTCCCCCTTGGTAATATCTTTCGTAAATTTAACATCCATTTCCACTGTTTTGCCGATGACACCCAGCTCTTTTTATCCACTGCACCTAACTCTTCACTTCCTCCCTCCTCCCTCACTTCCTGCTTAGCTGAAATTAAATCCTGGTTCACGTCTAACTTCCTGAAATTAAACAGCGATAAAACAGAGTTTCTACTCATTGACACTAAATCCACCTTATCTAAAGTTAACAGTTTCTCACTCACCATCGACAACTCCTTAGTTTCTCCCTCCCCTCACGTCAAGAGTCTGGGTGTCATTCTTGACAGCACTCTCTCTTTCCACTCTCACATCAATAGTATTACCCGGTCTGCATATTTCCACCTTCGAAATATCAACCGTCTCCGTCCATCCCTCTCTCCACACTCTGCTTCCATCCTGGTCCACAGTCTGGTCATTTCTCGAATCGATTACTGTAACTCTCTCCTCTTTGGTCTGCCTCACAAATTAATCCGTAAGCTTCAAATGGTTCAAAATTCAGCTGCCCGCATCATCACCAAAACCCCCTCATTTAACCACATCACCCCAGTTTTACAGCAACTTCACTGGCTTCCAGTCACATTCAGAATTCAATTTAAAATCTTGTTGTTCACTTTCAAAGCTATCCACAACCTCGCCCCTCCTTACCTGTTAGATCTCCTGCACATTACCACCCATTCACGCTCCCTTCGTTCTTCCACTTCCATCCACCTTAACGTGCCTCTTGTCCGCCTCAGCACCATGGGACACAGAGCCTTTTCTTACTCTGCTCCCCAGCTCTGGAATGCTCTTCCCCCGGACATCCGTAACATTGACTGCCTTCTGACCTTCAAATCAAAACTCAAAACTCATCTGTTCAAGCTAGCCTTTTCACTTTAACTGTTATTTTTAAATGTTATTTTCTTTTTGGTTTAGTGTTTTTAATAGTTATTTTATATTGTTTAGTACTGTGTTTTTAGTGCTGTGAAGTGTCCTTGGGTGTTTTGAAAGGCGCTGACAAATAAAATGCATTATTATTATTATTATTATGTTGCTTTGCTGTGGAAGATATTTTGATGCCTCAAACTGTCCCCTGTCAAGGACACGGTGTGAGAGATGTTTTTTTTTTATACCTCTCTCCTTATGTTTTCTTCTCTTTTTCTTATCTAAGCAACAGGGGCAGCACATCTTAGAAGCTGCAGTCCCCTGTACACTTCTGTCCATCTTCTGAACGGCTATATGGAAAGTAATTTCATTGTACTTCACTGTGCAAGGATAATTAAAGCATTCTGATTCTGAATGCAAGTAAACGTTAATACCTTTGGTGCAAGATATTAAAGAGGGTAGGTGTTGCACTATGGAAAAGAACTGAGGGAGTTTTTTTTTATTTATTTTTTGTTCTTTTGCTTGTCTGAGGCAGCACAGTGATGGATCCTTGCGAGTGGAGGGAGCAATTTTATCTATGACTAGGTGCAACAGCTTTCTTTTACTGAATGTGGAAAAAAGATTTTGAAAATGCTATTTTTGTTACAACACTGCCCTACTACTCATACTGGAGAGTACCAAAACATTTCTGTTCTGCTAAAAGTAGTCAACAAGCCAAGCAGTCCTGCATAGTTATACATGCTTTCTGAACAGGCTGTTCAGGGAAATCCCCCCAAAATGAAGTATTTTCACTTTTTACTCTTAGAACGGCAATTCAGTTTCAGTCATTTTAACTGCAGATGCATTTACCTTCATGAATGTGGCCAAAGACGTGGAGTTTGGGCTGGACTCTCCTTTGCACGGTGTTCAGCAGCTCCATGCAGCCAACACGCTGCATCTTCTTTGGAACCCAATCCAGAAAACCTTCACACAGCGAGAGGAAGATCAGACCCAGACAGCACCACAAAGTGTTGGTCAGACAAAGACAGTTAACACAATATTAATTAGGCCCAAGCAGCGAAGCGCTGCGAAGGCCTATTGTAATCATTCAGTTCATTAGGCCCGAGCAATTTTTCCATTAAATGAATTGGCCTTTTCGGGGCTTTAACATATCCAAAAACTCACAAAATTCTGTGGACACATCAGGACTGCTAAAAAATTACGGATTTTAAGGGCGTCGCCAAAATCGCAACAGAAACAACTCAAGAGCGCCACCTGGAAGTTTTCAAAATACCCTCTGCATTAACCTTAGTTTGGCGTAGAAGCATGAAATTTGGTACAGATCTACAATTCCCCAAGATGCACAAAAACCCCTCTGGCACCAACGTTACACGATAAATAGGAAGGCAGCCATTTTGGAATGCCTTCCCAATTTTCACACTTTTTTGGTGTGTCAAAAAGCTTGCGTTTTTGTATATGTTAAAGGGGCGTGGCCAGGCCTCAAAATTGTGCTTCATGCCATTAATTTCCAAACGTTATAACTTTCACATTGAAAAAACGAAATGCACCAAACTTGGCATGAGTCATCCCTGTTGGATGCCCAACGATCCACTGTTGTCATATTCTGACATCATCAAAGCCCCGCCCCCTCAGAACAGGAAGTCACTTTTTTTTACTTGGAATGCTCCCTCTCTGACATCCTTGGCCTAATCAGGATGATCCTGTGTTACAAGACATACAACAAGTTGATCTGATTTCCTTTAAATTACAAACTGTTTTAGCTGGAGTATGTGGGCGTGGCGCCGTGACGAATTCAGAAGTGACACCGTTACAATACGTTTGGCTCTAAATTGTACAGATTTGAACAGAGATGCACCAAAATCACTATGATTGATTATTATCCACCCCTTAAACAAGAATCCATGATAAGTGGTCAATAGTTTCCACAGCGCCCCCTACATTATTCTTAGAGTTAGATCACAGTGATACATCATCCGATCTGAACCACATTTTTTGTGCGTCATCAGTGAGGACTTCTAGACACATTGGTATTGTTTTTTAACTTTTGACTTAAGTGCACCCCCTAGATTATTCCAACCGATACCTCAGTGACACATCATCCGATAAGCGCCAGATTTATTGTGCATCATCAGTGAGCACTTCTACACACATTGATATGGTGGTTTAACATATGACTCCAGTGCACCCCATAGATTATTCCAAGAGTTATATCTCAGTGATCCATCATCCGATCTGCACCAGATTTTTGGTCCATCATCAGTGACCACTTGTATAGGCGGCTGTGGATGAATGGTTAGAGCAGTCGTCCTCCAATGCGAGAGTTCGGGGTTTGAATCCACAAGCAGTCACATGCCAAAGTGTCCCTGGGCAAGACACTGAACCCTTCATAGCCTCTGATGTGTGTCCCATCAGTGTATGAATGTGATCTAAAAGCACTGATTAGTCTCATTAGAATGATTTGTTCAATTAGCTTTGTAGAGCTAATTGAGAGCCGTCTGATAGTCGAACCTCGGATTCAGGAGGAACAGTGCGGTTTTCGTCCTGGCCGTGGAACACTGGACCAGCTCTACACTCTCAGCAGGGTCCTGGAGGGTGCGTGGGAGTTTGCCCAACCAGTCTACATGTGCTTTGTGGACTTGGAGAAGGCATTCGACCGCGTCCCTCGGGGGGCCCTGTGGGGGGTACTCTGGGAGTATGGGGTACCGGGCCCTTTGATACGGGCTGTTAGGTCCCTGTATGACCGGTGTCAGAGCCTGGTCCGCATCGCCGGCAGTAAGTCGGGCTTGTTCCCGGTGAGAGTTGGAGTCCACCAAGGTTGCCCTTTGTCACCGATTCTGTTCTTAACTTTTATGGACAGAATTTCTAGGCGCAGCCAAGGTGTTGAGGGGATCCGTTTTGGTGGCCTTAGGATTGCGTCTCTGCTTTTTGCAGATGATGTGGTCTTATTGGCTTCATCAGATCGTGATCTACAGCTTTCGCTGGAGCGGTTCGCAGCCGAATGCGATGCGGCCGGGATGAAGATCAGTTCCTCCAAATCCGAGGCCATGGTCTTGAGCCGGAAAAGGGTAGAGTGCCCTCTCCGGGTCAGGGAGGAGGTCCTACCCCAAGTGGAGGAGTTCAAGTATCTTGGTGTCTTGTTCACGAATGAGGGAAAAATGGAGCGTGAGATCGATAGGCGGATAGGTGCAGCGTCTGCAGTGAAGCGGGTGCTGTACAGGTCTATCGTGGTGAAGAGAGAGCTGAGTCAAAAGGCGAAGCTCTCAATTTACCGATCGATCTACGTTCCCACCCTCATCTATGGTCACGAGCTTTGGGTTGTGACCGAAAGAATGAGATCTCGGATACAAGCGGCCGAAATGAGTTTTCTCCGCAGGGTGTCTGGGCTCTCCCTTAGAGACAGGGTGAGAAGCTCGATCATCCGGGAGGGACTCGGAGTAGAGCCGCTGCTTCTCCATGTCGAGAGGAGCCAGTTGAGGTGGCTTGGGCATCTGTTTAGGATGCCTTCTGGACGCCTCCCTGGTGAGGTGTTCTGGACACGTCCCACCGGAAGAAGGCCCAGAGGAAGACCCAGGACACGCTGGAGGGACTATGTTTCTCGGCTGGCATGGGAACGCCTCGGGATTCCCCCGGAAGAGCTGGCCCAAGTGGCTGGGGAGAGGGAAGTCTGGGCCTCCCTACTTAGGCTGCTACCCCCACGACCCGACCCCGGATAAGCGGAAGAAAATGGATGGATGGATGGAGATGTAGAGTGCTGTATGAATGGGTAAATGAGGACACAGATTGTAGTGTAAAGCGCTTTGAGTATCTTGAAATAAGATAGAAAGGCGCTATGGTAAATGGACTGTACTTATATAGCGCTTTTCTATCTGATCAAGATACTCAAAGCGCTTTACACTACAATCTGTGTCCGCATTTACCCATTCATACAGCACTCTACTAGATCTCTACAAAGCTAATTGAACAAATCAGTCTAAAGAGACTAATCAGTGCTTTATCACATTCATACACCGATGGGACACACACCAGAGGCAATGAGGGGTTCAGTGTCTTGCCCAGGGACACTTCGGCATGTGACTGCTGGTAGATTCAAACCCCCAACTCTTTTTTGTTCTTTAACATTTGACTCGAGTGTGCCTCCTAGGTTATTCTAAAAGTTATATCTCTGTGATACATAAAATCTGAACCAGATTTTTTGGGCGTGATAAGTAAGCACTTGTATACACATTGGTAATGTTCTTTAACATTTGACTCCAGTGCGCCCTCTAGATTATTCCAACAGTTATATCTCAGTAATACATCATCTGATCTGAACCAGATTTTTTGTACATCACAAGTGAGCACTTCTAGACATATTGATGTTGTGGTTTAACATATGACTCCAGTGCACCCCTTTGATTATTCCAACAGTTATATATCAGTGAAACATAATCCAATATGTGCCAGATTTATTGTGCATAATTAGTGAGCTCTTCTAGACACAATGGTATTTTACATTCATGATGTCACTTAAGCCCCACTCAATGAAGAAACTGTCAATTATTGGGTGACTCTTCCAGCTTTGCCCTGTGTAAGACTGAAACTGTAGTCGCTAACTGTTGATTACCACACATGACATGTTGAAAAGCATAAAGTGCTCATCAAACATTCGCCACAAAACAGGAAGTCACAATAACTCTTGTCTGGAAGGTCAGATTTTGGCCAAACTTGTAAGGCTTGCAGCTGGACTCGTACTGATATGGGCAGAAGGTGATTTCGAAAATTAGGCATATGCACACCCTAGTAGACGTGTGTGAGAATGGAATGAGAGCATTCACAATTGTGAATGGGAGGTGTTGCTGGAGCTTCGGCGGTCGCAGGTGATGTTGAAGACTTGGCAAATATGCACCCTGGTGAATGGCTGCGGGATAGGCATGAGAGCGTTTGCGATGGTGACTGGGTGGACTAGCTGGAGCCCCCGCAGTTGCTGTAAGGCTGCAGCGGCGCTTTGCTGCGAGGGCCTTCAATGCTGCTTGCAGTTTTAATACTCGTTCTAATTTTTTAAGCTAGTATTTTGTTAGTTTTAGTTACTGTCCTGGTGCTTTTATCTACTGTTGAATATAGGTACATCTGCTGTTTTAGCTTTTAGCTACTCTTATGCTGCTTTTAATTAATTTTACAGTTGTCTTGCCTTTAGCTTCTAGCTATAACTCTTACATTTTTAGTGGGAAAGGTGATGAAAACTATCTTTGTTTCAGGGTTTAACACCCCTCCAGCCCTCGTCTAACCGGTAATTGAAACCCCCTCCCCCCCAGACTTCTGAGTATTATCCAAACAATACTATGGTCAGGCCCTCTTAGGCTGGGTTCGAGAAAGATTCGACCAGGCTCTAACAACCTTCATCTGCAGGACACATCCCTATTTCATCTCACAGCTCTAAGAGTCAAGTAGCAGTGACCCCAAAGTTTACCATAAGGTATACTGCATTATGGCTGCTCTTCCTCTATTTGACATTTTGCAATTGGTCCAAGACCTGGTAATTTTCCTAGGCCAGGACAAGTTGGCCATATGGGGATGCTGTTCAAAAATCTAACTAAGTAATCGTTTAAAACCTCCCAAAATCTCAGAACCAAGAACACTTCATGAGTAACTTCAGCAATGAGCATGTATCATTCAGATGCCATCAGGAAAATTAGTCCAACACTATGATTTTCATGCTTTGTGATTTTAATCATAAATTTGCATAAGGTTACATATGTAGCTTTCAAAAATCCAGCAGTAGTACAAGCAAATGTGTTTCAAAAAATGCAGTATAATGAATGAAATAAAAATCACAAAAAGGGTGAAAATCCAAATTCCTCTAGATGTGGATATACCAATCTTTTATAATAATCTCTTGTAAATGACCTACACCCTAACTGTGCTGTCCCTAAGAAAAACCACAAAATGTTACCTGTAATTTTTAAATCGGGTAAAATGGTTAAAAA